ATTTTGTTAAATCCGCATAAGCGGTCGCCATGATTCCAAAATATAAGGGTTAGCCGCGCGTTAGTAAGGCGCTAGCATAATGATTTACGATTGTTATGATCGGTTTTAAATTTGCTTACGTTTTCCTTATATAAAATGATGGATAAATGGGAGATAGAATAATTAAGGTAAGAAAACAAGGATAGGAAAGAATTGGGTTGTAAATGTTCCTACGAAAATAAATATTTATTGAATCGATACGAAGAATTGTCACAATACGATAAAAACACTTTAGACCGTTTTATCGAGTAATAGATTACTCGATATAAAATAATTTTATGTAGTTAAGCGAGAAAGAAGTGTGATGCGCCGAAAATTTTTGCTAAGATGAAGCTTATAAATACTGGAGACGTACCCGATACTGATAGTATTAGCAGTAATAATAGTAGTAGTAGGCTCGTGCATCAATAACGTGTTGCAAAATTACTAGATTAATCGTCTATAAATATTATTTTCGTACTTTGGATTTGAATTTTATGTATTATATAGATATATAGAGATTTTTGTTGTTAAGGTAAGCGTATATATATATATATATATTGCACAATTGTGTTGCATATACTTCTTTATATATGTGTTTATATATGTGTGTGATAAATTAGTGTAAAAATTTGTTCTAGTTAAATATGTTTGTATAATCCAATTCTGTACTAGTGTTGTATATGAACCCAAATATTTGTTCTAAGTGAGTGTATGTATGGGCTCCAGGTGAACACAAATATGAGTTGTAGGTAAATAAATATGTAATTCCAGATATATATATATATATGTGTTTTAGCAATATATGTCTGTTGTTAGACGAATCTGCATGTGTGTGAAAGTGTGTATGTGTTCGGGTATATATATATATATGTGTTTGTGTATGTATATAGATGTATTCCATATATAGATATATATGTGTATGTGTATATATATGTATATATGTATATATATACGTTCCAATTGGATATATATATATATATTATAGGAATATATATATATATTTCTTGTTAGATAATAAGGGTCTGTTCCATATATAGATATATATGTCTTTAGATCTATTTATATATATGTCGTATGTATATGTATTTGTGTGTGCACATGTGTATTCCAGCTAAATATGTATTTAGGGTTTAGGAATATATGTTTGTTATTGGACGAATATACATATATATTATATTGTTGGGATATACATTTATATATATATATCTATATTTATATATAATATATAGTTTACATATACATTATTAGATATATATATATATATGCATATATGTTTTATATGTGTGCACATTTGTGTGTTTATGTTTGTATATATGTGCGTGTTGTGTTTGTGTTCCGAGAAGAACGCGTTTATGTACATGGGTCTGCTCCGCGATATATATATATATATACTAGCGGGGGCCCGCTGCTTTCCAGCAGCGTGCGAAATGAAGCCCATAATAAAAGAGTAACAGAATCAGAATATGGAATAAAAAATCATTCCAATTTAAATTATTATAAATAGATATGCACTACTCACAGAAACAAGAATAAACAAACCGAACAAATGCTTAACAAAACGCGGTTTTGGAATATTTCGAAAACATACATAATTATGATTTTAAGCCGTTGCCTTAATCCCTATCCAAATAAAATATTTCAAACAATTATATATTACACTAAATTAAAGACCCAATTCTAGAGACCCAAATATCTAAAGACGAGTTATAGATAGAACTTCTCATTTTTCCAACCTATATTCATTCCATAACAAACCATACCAATGCGATTTCAATCAATCTAAAAAATTATATATTCGATTCTTTTAGATTAAGCCGAAAACGATCTCATCATTAACCCAAATATCTTATCACTTAAATACCCATTTATAACACCCTTTTTTAAGGCTAAACCAAAAAGAAATCTCAAAAAAAAAAAAAAAAACAATTTCAATTCTAAAGCAAACCATTCCACTCCTCTAAAAAATTATTTTTTATTCCTCCACAAATCTTTCAGCCAAAACAAACAAAAACACAAAGCCACAAAGCCACAAAACCACAGAGACACAGAGACACAGAAACACAGAGACACAGAGACACAGAAACACAAAGACACAAAGACACAGAGACACAGAGACACAAACACAAACACAAACAAACACAAACACAAACACAGACAGACACAAACAGACAAACACAAACAGACAGACACAAACAAACAAACAGACAAAGACAAACAAACAGACAAAGAAACAAATACCAGAAATAAAGAAACCAACAAACAAAGAGACAAAGACACAGAAACAAAAAGAGACACACCTTCGGCGCGCAGCACACACAAACAAACAAACAGACAAACAGACAGACAAACAGACAGAGACAAAGACACAAACAAAGACAAAGACAAAAACAAACACAGAGACAAAAACACAGACACAGACACAGACACACAGACACAGACACGCAGACACAGACACACAGACACACAGACACACAGACACACAGACACACAGACACACAGACACACAGACACACAGACACACAGACACACAGACACACAGACACACAGACACAGACACACAGACACACAGACACACAGACACACAGACACACACACACACACAGACAGACAGACAGACAGACAGACAGACAGACAGACAGACAGACAGACAGACAGACAGACAGACAGACAGACAGACAGACAGACAGACAGACAGACAGACAGACAGACAGACACAAACAGACAGACACAGAGACACAGAGACACAGAGACACAGAGACACAAAGACACAGAGACACAGAGACACAGAGACACAGACACAAACAGCCACAGACACAGACACAGACACAGACGCAGACAGACACAGACAAAGACAGACACAGACAGACAGACACAGACAGACAGACACAGACAGACAGACAGACAGACAGACAAAGAAACAGATACCAGAGACAGACAGACCAACAGACAAAGAGAGACAGGGAAAAACACCGATACTCCGGCGCGCAGCGCGCCGGATTCTGATGTCGACATGCCACAGGCTTCGCCTGCGCACGTGCACGCGTCCGACTCCGAGCCCGAGAGCCGTGATGCAGACGGGCTGCAAGAACGCGCGTGTGAGCTCTTGGCTGCGCGTGCCCCAGTTGCACGCGGCGGCTGGCCGCTTGTCCCCTGGCGCCCTCGCCCTGTGGAGCGAGCCAGTGCAAAACGGTTTATCACGCGCTTGTCTCGGCGCTGCCCCGCCGCTCCCGCGGCCAGGAGGTGGTTGCAGGACTGCTTATCGCATCGCCAAACTCTCGGAAGATGGGCCAAGATTTCAGCCAAAATTGCTACGGACAGGCAGATTTATGCCTCGACTCTTTATCTGGAAGACATAACGGCTTCGTTCAACGGCTACGGATGGGAAGATATATGCCTAGACTCTTGATCTAGAAGACACAACGACTTCGTTCAAAGTCCGGACCATTTTTCCGAAATATCCCGGATATTTCGATAGTCGCACTCCAGACCATTTTTCCGAAATATTCCGGATATTTCGACGATGGCATTTCCCGAAATATTTGGAATATTTCGGGAAAATGGTTCTTAAAATATTCAGAATATTTTAAGAAAATGGTGGGTGGCTGCGATTCCCGGACCGCTTTCCCGAAATATCTGGAATATTTCGGGAAATTGGTCCCTACAAAAAATGAAGCCACTATGTCTTCCGCACATATGCCGGGGTAGCCCGGACAGATTTGGGCGAGCGATCCGTAGGAATTATGAAGCGGTTACATCTTCCCGGGGCAGTCCGGACCAATTTTCCGAAATATCCGGGATTTTTCGGAAAAGCGGTCCGGGAAAACGCGCGCAAGTGCGACGAGCAAGTTTCACGGTTTCGTTTTATAGAGTAAATAATATACATATGTTATTCGCCTATATAGTATATATATATATATTTATATATATATGTTTTTTTTTATATCTAGAAAATCTAAATGTCCACCTAAAGCGCACATACCCATATATGCACCTCGAAAACAATTATATAGTTTTTAGATAATATATATACATATATACGCATGCAAAAAATGTTCAATTAGCATCTGGTAATATTTATATATGGAGTATATATTTCTGCATCTAGAACATAAAAATATGTCCAAATAAAACATATATATACACACATATATAAAATACATATACAAATATATATATATATATATATATATTATATAAGTTAAACATAAATATAAATAAACTATATATATTCACCTTAAACACAAATACATACAATAAAAAAACATATATATATATATGTATATTGTTAACATATTTACATTATTTCATTAATTTTCCATTAATATAATTTTAAAAATTGGTTTATATTCCCTTTTATAAATATACAAATAATAAATCATATATAAAACCCAAATTAGTTTAAACAAATATTAAAACATATTTAAATAATATCCATAATAATATGTTTATACCATCCCATAACCCTCATAAAATCTCATAAAATTCTAATGGAATCCTCGTATTACCTCAAGATTTAGATCCAAATATTTGTTCAATTGTTAATAACAAAATATAATTGTTCTTAATAAATAATACCATATCGAATATAAAAGAAATAATAAATATAGATATAGAAAAAATAGATATTATATTCTCAAATTTTTGTTCGGCCAATTATGCCGATTCTATCATTGTAATTATTATGTCAAATAATTCGTTCATTTTCATTGTTTGGTTCTTATCTTTGGCCTTGCTTTGGGCGCCGCTTTGGGCGCCTCACTTAATGATTGCCTTGACCCCTGAGCTCTCCTCTTTGCCCTTGCCTTTGCCGTTGCCACTGCAGTCGCCACAAGTGACAGGCTGGAGCTAGCCAGCGCCCGCGCAGCCTCATTAGGCACAGCCTCATTGCGCGCAGCCTTGTTGGGCGCAGCCTTGTTGGCAGCCTCTGCGGGCACAGCTTTTGTAGCAGCCTGCAAAGAAGCAGCCTCTGTGGGCGCAGCCTCTGTGGGCGCAGCCTCTATAGGTGCTTCCGTGGGCGCAGCTTCTACAGGTGCAGCCTCTATGGGTGCAGCTTCTGTGCGCGCAACCTCTGTCGACACGGCCTCCGTGGGCGCGGCCTCTGCAGGCACGGCGTCTATGGCTGCAGCTTCCGTGGGCCTTGGCAGGGGAAGTGTTTGGGAGTTTTTTTGTTTTTTTTTTCCGAGAGCGACGTCTAAGGAAGCCAGTCTCTCGCGTTTGGTTGAAAGCTGGGCAATGTCCTGGTCAAGGCGGAAACTAGCAGGTGCAGCCACTTAACAACGATATAGGTTCTCTGCTTTGCACACATCATGCCATAACATAAATCTAGAGAAACATGTGGCGCACCAGGGCCAGCAGGAGCCAGCAAGCGTTCTGCGTCGATGGAAACGCTTGCTAAAGAACACCCAGCTTCGCACAACACGAAGACGAGCAAGTCCAGCAGACATTCGCTTGGATCTGTCAAAGTTCTGATTGCTAAACATCTGACCCAGCGACCTCCAAGGACCGGCAAAGCGACTCCAACTGTTTCCTACCCGGCCTTTTCAGCCCAACCCGCCCAACCCCAAGCACCGGGACCAGAACTGCGCACCCAAAACTGCGAGAAGGACAGCCGAACGCCAGAGAGCCCAAGCAACAAAGTAGCGGCCCCACAAAAACATGTGCGAAGACAACCTGGGCCCATCTTGCTAGCCCTGCAGCTGTGTGTGTGTGTGTGTGCAACCCCAGTTCCTATGGTGCTCTTTTCTGGTTCAGACGGAGTTGGGCGCCATCATCTCCTGATGAGGGCTGTGTTGTCTGAAAGCTTTGCATGCAAGGGATTGAGTCTTGAGTCCTTTGGCAATTTCTGGATGCTTGTGAATGTACTGTCTCATATCAAAAAGAAACAGATCAAACATCCGGACGCGGACCTTCCTTCCTGTGGGTGTTTGGAACTAACGGCACTGCCTCCAAAGCCTGGCTTTCGTAACAATATGGATCGACTAGGCCACACTTGAAACAGCAACATGTTGCTTTTGTCAAACAAAAAAAGTGTTTGAGCCTTGGCCTGTCTGAGCCAGTCTGAGCAACCGGCTTCTCGGTCTGAGGGCTTGAAACCAGCCAGGAAAGCCAAGTGCCTCGGCCATCGCGGCGTGCCAACTAGAGAGCCACAGAGAAAGTACGGAACTTCCGCACGGGCAACCCCAAGAACGTGAAAGCAAATTTCCAACAGATCTCAGGCGTGTGTCACCAGTGAATCTGTCGCAGCTTTGTGTGCAGCGTGGATGGATCATGCACAATGTCCCTGTGAAATGCTCCGCCTTCAATGCAAATCCTCGCTGCTGAAAATCCGCAAACAAGCGACGCTTGAAACTGAGGCAACTGGATGCATTCGGCTGGTACTGTATGACGTCATGACACCAGGTATGTCTGACCTGTTTTTGGTTCAGGCCTTGCACATCCCATAGCTCCCATCTCGGAATTGCATCATGCACACATAACCAATGTACTTTGCAGTGTGTCGTTGTACATCTGTGTTGTGGTACATGTGTACCGGCATAGGAATATCGTATTCATGGTAACTTGACTCGAGTCGCGCCTGATCTTTCCTCCGCCTGGCAAATGTTGAAGACTAAGCTTGCAGGTGAAAGATGTGCAAGATTTGCCCCTGAAAGGCTGAGGCTTGGTTTCATTGAGGCGGGATGGATTTGGTTTAGAGTTGGTTAGACTTGGTTTAGAGTTGGTCAAGGGTTGGTGATAAATCGAGGGCAACTTTTCATGGTGGATTAGTCGGATGGGGCTGCTTGACGGTTGGTTGGCAAACGATTGAAGGTGGGTTTAGGATTGGTCAAGGGCTATCGAAGGTTGATCCAGTGGCTTAGCACCGGGTTTGGGTAGACTTAGGTTTGCTTTGTGTCAGCTTGGGTTGAGGATTGATTTAGCATGGTGTGCTTCGGATGGGTTGCCTTGCTGACGTGCGGTGGCTCTGAGGCAGAAATAGGTTGAAGCTGCATGTACGATTGTTTTAGGGGTGTAGAGTGGATGTCGGCGTCGATTACCAAGGGTTGATTAGGGTCAACTAGGCGTGGTTGAGCGTGGATGAGCATGGATTGAGATTGAGAATTTCGTGCTGGTGTAAGGATTCTTTCGGACGGGTTTAAGGTTGTCAAGCGTTTGCCTGCAGTTGGCACAAGGAGACTTCGGCTGGATGTTGCTCAAGTTTGGTTGAGGGGTGGTTGGGGCGGATCTAGAACAGATAAGGGTTAGGGTTGGTCCATAGTGAATGGTTCAGCCCTCTGTTGGGGTTGGTTTACAGTTTGATGGAAGTTGGTCTGGGTGGATGTAGCGGGGGTGACTGATTTAGGGCGGGGTTGATTCAAGGCAGATTTAGGAATGGTTTTCTTGATTTAGAGCCGGGCTTAGGGTGTTCAGGCTTAATCACGGGTGGCTTTGGGCTTGATTTAGTGCAGGTGTCGGATTGCCTTAAGGTTGATTTCGACTCGGGTGAAGTGAGGGTAAGGGTGGAGTGAGGGGTAGGATACAGAGTTGATTTGGGCTGGATGCCAGAGGTTATAGGATTCGTTGTGAATTAACTTAATGTTGGTGCAGGTTGGGAAAAAAAGTAGGACAAAAGGACTGAGTCTCTAGATTGGCAAGTGTATACCAAAATGTCAAACATCACAGTCATATAATGCCTCATGCCCGTTCCAAACTGACCGCAGACTGCCGGACGTGTTGCCCAAACCTCAAATCTGCAATCCCTGCAAGCCTGACAAGCAGCAGTTTCTTCTTCAGGCCTGCCAGCCAGTCATTTGCGACAGCAAACATGCACACTTTGCGCTTTCATGTCTGTAATCTTTAATCAGGAACTCCTGACAAGTGGTTGGTGGACATAAATCCGCACCTAAATCACATCCACCAAAGGGTCCCTAATCAAAATTATGATCCATGTGTACATTGTGAACGCCATGTATGCTGTCACTATGGAAGCACCTTGTCGTCGCCCCTTTCCGGCTCGCTCCATCTCCCTAGTGTTTGTTTGTCCACAATCATCTCCCGTGGCAACAACATCGCTGCCTCTCTGAGACGCTCTGGGAGCATCCTAGGCTGAGTGCCGGTCTGGTGACTAGAGCTGAGAGCAAAATACCCTCTATGACATCGAGCCACACTCAGGCAACTCGGGGAAAGGCCCAGTAAATCGCAAAGAGGGCTGCTTGACAGTGCTGCCCCCAGTCCCATGAGAAGAGCATGAGACGTTTTAGCCGCCATGTGAGACATGCTTTCTGCTGCGGCCGGTGCTTGCATGCCTGGAAGACCAACGCGGCCAAGCGGCTGGCAGATTCTTGCACATCCTGACCAAAGGATGCGACAGTCCTTCTCTGTAGCTCTCATGTCCGACACGCTGTAGCAATTCCGATCCCTCCTGAACGAGCTCCTTTGATCCCTCGCTGTCTGTGCGCATAAAGGGGAAAGAGGCCTCAGGCGGAGCACGCAGCTCAGGGCGGATGTGTGATGTCATTGGGAACCATTTGGTGGAACCTTTACGAGACTTATGCCCATCAGCAATTTCACAGGGTGTTCCCCGTCAAGACTCATAGCATCTCATAGCCATGCATCCCTTCGGCTCAGATGCGAACAGCTTTTCAATGCAAGTGGCCGACCAACCTTCTGCTACAAGCTCCCGACCTCTTCCTCCTCTTCCTCCAGGCTTCTGGCTCGGTGAACCTGCCGTTGTGTTCCTTTTCTTTTTAATCGGGAGACGTGGCAAATCGCTAACAGTTTATATATCACTCAGTGTAAACATTAGAAGTTGTGCCGTCAACCTAAAAAGACATGGGAGTGACTCGAGCATTATTGGGCTTTCCCCTGATCTATCACCACAAGACGAACATGAACATGCTATGACATGGGGGCAGCTGTCTGATGGTAGCACCGTTCAAAGCCCCAAACCACAAGCCCCGAGACCCAGCTTGGGAAAACAAAGCGGGGATACGGGAGGGATGTCCGATTCCCTGCAAAATATGACCCGGAAAATAAGCGGTTTCAACCAACGTAGACTCAAGCCTGTGCGGTGATAGGTCAAGGGAAAACTGAGTTTGTGATGTTGCCCTTCTCCCCCATCCTGCCAACCAACCGGCTGAGACATCCCACCCACCAACCAACCAACTCACGTTGCACAACGTACACCGCTGGTCCAGCCACAATGACGTGTGCTTTCGAACCGCCACAACCGCTGTGCAGCAGGGATGTGCTGAATATGCGGAATGATTAACGCGCTCAGCTGGCTCTTCTTGATGGCAGCACCATTCCGATTGAGAACTCCAACCAATTGCAAAAATTACTTCGCTTCGAGCAATCCCCACCCTCCACACTCACGAGCTTACGACCGTGAACACGGTTGTGTGAATTCATGCATGGTTTTCGAGTGGCTTGGGGCCTATGACTGCTCAACAAGCTTCCTTATCCACCTGTCTCTGTGTCAAACTCCACTTTTCTGCGGGCCGATCTCGATAACTCAAACATCGGTTTCGTTAACAAAAGCCAAGCCCCTTCCAAAAAGAAACCCGACGGGGGATTAAACGAAGTTGCTTATTCACAACCCGAAGCAACACAAAAGCACCACCCTTTCCGAGCCTCAGGGTACACTCAAAACACGAAGGCACCGACATGAAATGTAAACCCAACTGTGCGCCGGGCGGGACATTAAGCAAAACCAGACTGGCGAGCTGCTCTGGCGGGATACTGGCGGGATCCACTGACGAATGCTGGCGAGCCGCTCCGGCTTGATACTGGCCGGATACTTGGCAGGATCCATCAGCAAAGGATACTCAGCAGGATGCTCGGCGGGATCCACTGGCGGCTGCTCTGGTGGGATACTCGGCGGGGCTGCTCTGGTGGGATACTCGGCGGGATCCACTGACGAATGCTGGCGAGCCGCTCCGGCTTGATACTGGCCGGATACTTGGCAGGATCCATCGGCAAAGGATACTCAGCAGGATACTCGGCGGGATCCACTGGCGGCTGCTCTGGTGGGATACTCAGCGGGGCTGCTCTGGTGGGATACTCGGCGGGATCCACTGGCGAGGTACTCTGGCGGGATACTCGGCGGGATCCACCGGCGAGCTACTCTGGGATACTCAGCGGGATACTCGGCGGGATCCACTGGCGAGCCGCTCTGGCGGGATACTCGGCGGGATCCACTGGCGAGCCGCTCTGGCGGGATACTCGGCGGGATCCACTGGCGAGCCGCTCTGGCGGGTACTCGGCGGGATCCACTGGCAAGCCGCTCTGGCGGGATACTCGGCGGGATCCACTGACGAGCTGCTCTAGCGGGATACTGGGTGGGGGCGTGGTGTAGAAGCATCGCAAACGCGGATTCCAACATAAAATCTAACAACCCCTTCCTGCCGGGTGGGGAAAAAAAAACAGATGCCGGCAACGCTGAGCAGCAATTTCACGGACGTGTCCAGGTGCAGAAATGGGCTAAGGGGGCAACACGCTCGTCATACTTCATCTGCGAATCATCTGACAGTAGTGCTTGCAAACATCCGGGGTTTGGCAGAAATTCCTGCCGGCTTGTGACACGCATGACATGCACTGGCGTACATTGCCCAAGGGAACACCCAGTCGCCATTTTACGAACCTACGGCCTTCTTGGGCAATACAAGTAGCACAACAATCAAATCAAATGGCAAACTCGCTGAACAGCCCCTCGCTCTGCGCCGTCGCCCCTTCTCGCCTCCGATGGTGCGGAACTCGCTGCGTCTGGCGCGGCTCGAGGCGACCGAGCCCCGGGAAGTCCCGGAATGCTCGCCAGGCCGAGATCACCGAGCTGGCAAAGCTGGCATTTGGCTGGCTGCTTTAAAAGAGATTGACACCTGGCTTGAAAGATGACAAAACCTACATGGGAATTTTCGCGATAACACCATCACCTGAAATCTGAGCAACTACGTGTTACCAAGACACGAGGCCGGTCTGCCCATTCCCATCCCCTGGAAGGTCGCACCAGAGGCTTGCTCCATGTGTGGCTCCTGCCAAGGCAAACTCGACCCTTATCCTCCACTTGAAATGGCTGTCAACAGTACATCCTCTTGACAGCTGGGCTTTGGTCGGCCCTTGGTGAGTTGCCAGCTTTGCGCAATGTGCTCACAAATGCCTCGTTGGCCTTGTGCTGCTCGCTGGCCAAGGCATCTGGCACCTAAGGGACTCTTACATGCTCCCGAAAAAGGAAAAGCGAAGCCAGATCTTTCAGGCGTAGTGTGTGTGTGTGTGTGTGTGTGCGTATGTGCGGAATTTAGTCAACTCTGCTTGCATATGCTGTCTCTTGGTTGGGCTGGGCCCACAACATCCTAAAAAGGGCAGGAGCCATAATGTTCATCCCTACAGTCCGCTTGGCTATCAGCTGTCTGCATTTCGCCCATTGAGCAAGGACGGTGTGAAAGAGATTTGCTGCATCCTTGCCAAAAGGGACACTCTTCTGGGTAGCTGTGTTTTCGGGAAGCCGAAGGAAACCAACCACTTTCGTTTGTTCCCTAAAGCAAACCCCCATTCCTCGAGTCGAGCCGAGGGCGGGAAAACAAACACAAAAACTTTGAGACTGGGCTTCCAATGTTTGATTTGCCTCAAGCTCGCCTGAGGCTTCCTCTGACTTTCCGAGGCAGTCCAGCAGTGCTGAGGTGCGGTCTGTTCCAAGCACACCTGCACGAGTCACAAGTTGTCGCCCATGATTCCATGATCCTTTAGGGGACTGAGAGCGATCCAAGAAAGGGTTGGACCCTTTGCCGAATCTCCTGAAAGCACATTGTAATGGTGATTGCAACAACCGCAATCAACAAAAAACTTGAATCCAAAAGTCCAACCTAGCAGCAACCTTCCCGGCCTAGCTCCGGATTGCGTTTGTCCACCTGGGGCTCCTCATGTTTTGCCATGTCCCAAGCAAAAGGGCACGCTACACCTGCCACTGCGAGTGCAACGCCTTGCAGCCTGACCGTGTATGTTGAATTGTTCACGGAGATTTGACCCTGGCAAAAGGCCAAACGTCTTCCTGAAACACTCTCTGTCCTCGGAACAAGGGGACGAACCAAACCCATTGGTCCAATGGCCATGCTGCTTGTAGCCAGCGTCCTTGGCCAACTCACCAGAGTTTGCACTGCAATCCTGGCAATAGTCAGTCTCTTTAGGCAAAGCTAGTGCAGTGAATATGATCAAATTCGTGGGCATTGCAGCCAAGTGGAACTGTGTTCATGCAAGATTACCGTACAAGATCGTACAAGCATTCCTGCCGTCATTTTCGCTAAGCACTTACACGCCAGTGGTTGCTGTCTTGGGACAATGTGTGATGGACGGGCCTTGGATGACACTAGCACTATGATCTCTTTCTTGAGATCTGAGACCAAATGTGCAGAAACAACCCCAGTGCTAATTTATCCTTTCCATGCCATAGCCCAGAAACATCGGTGCTCTGAACCTGAACCATTTTTCCGCCGTGTGGAATCTTGAAAAGTCTCGATTCCAACTCACTCCCTGAAATGATCCAGCAGAAAATGAGATTGGTCAATTTGCAGACAAATGCCCGGCACGTGTGGGAAAAATCAAGCACTACACAAGCCATCGGCACCTGCCTCCAAGATCTGGATCAGCCGCAGCAATACCTGGCGGCTTGGCAAAAGCACCATCTGGATGCTGGCATGTGGCTGTGGGTCAAAAAATAGGTACCCAAAATTTTGTTACCCTGGTAAATGGAAACATGGCCTAAAACCTGTGTAACCCCAGTTGTTTAATTTTGAGCCACACCCATGTACCAAGGAAATACGAAGATCAATCCCATGTTGGTTGCCCCGTGTTGAGCTCAAAGCTTTTGCCTTCTTTTGGCCAATTTGGGGTGCGTAAATTCAGTCTGGCAGCGCCTTGTAGCCATCGCGCATCCCATCTAGGGAGCAGGTGTCCTCGGAAGAAATTCCAGCTGAAGACCCCGCAACCATCGTTGGCCAAAACAATTCGCAGGAAATCCCATGAAGTGCCACTTGCAATCCAGAAAGCCAGTAAACACGGGTAGATGACTGCAGGACGCAAGAGATGCTTGCAAAACACCGACTTGACAAGAACACAAAGAGTGGTAATGGACGTTTTGGTGAATAAATGCCGCTCCCACTGTCTAGGTCCTCGTTCAGCCTGCCGCTCTCGGTCCTTGCCGCACAGCACGTCCCATTTTTCCGTGAATCTGTGTTGGGTTCAAAACCGCCGCTGCTGGCAAGAAATCGGCAACCAGCGCCTCAACGGCGAAACCCTGCAAAGGTGAACCGGTGACGGCTCACAGCATTTCCGCTGAAATCCTTTTCTGATGCAGACAGCAAGGAACATCTCTCCCAACTGGGATCCATGCGGGTGTGTTTCTTTTTTTAGGGGCCCACCAAGCTGGTAATTCTTCTTGTGGCTTCCCTTAAAAAACCAACCAAAAGGGGGGAACTTGAAAGACGAAAGACGAAAATGTGCTCCGGTCCTCTCCGGTCGCTGAAATCCCAGAAGCTGCACATCCCCACCAAGGGACTGCGTGCGCCGCGCGTGCGCCACGGAGCCTCGAGGAACCAGCTCGCTTTGTGGGAGGGTTCGTTTTAGGGGAAGCTAAAGCGACCAACTCTGGGGGGCTCCCTTACTTGGAGACAAGCGCAAATCCCATCACGGCTGGGCCGTTGTCGTTTGCTGGCCGCACACAAAGCGGCAGACATGAGCAACATGGCTTGCCACTCATGACATGAAGCATCCTCGAACACCTGATATCACCAAGAACACCATACCAAAAGTTTAGCTCCCTCTCTCAAGTACTTCAAAGGATCTACATGGGCATGGGCTTCCCTGCCATGCACCATGAAGTGCTGGATTTTGAATGTGTAGAGCTCCCTCCTTGGCACTGCCATGGTGCGCCACCCATTCCAACCAAAAGATGTTCTTGGCTCTGTCAATTCTTTGATCCATCAATTGGCGAACGTGACATGCTGAGGCTCCCAACAAGGCTGCCTCCAGCGCTTGTCGAGCCACGGAGTCTGCAGCCGAGATAGCTGATGGCTCAAGGAAGCGCCCAAACATAAGTAGAATGAGTCCATCTTGCTCTCTGGCGCTGCACTTTTGACAACATCTTGGATTACCCGGGTATTCTCTTTGAAGGGCTTTGCAAATTCGTGGTCTTGTACAAGGCTGTCCTTGATGCTCCAGAAGGTGGGGGGAGACACACGTCTGACAATCCATCCGATGCCCGTGTGTGTCCATTACGCATCGAGGTTGTGGCCATTTCTCGACTAAACACGGCCAGTATTTGGTGTGTGTCTTTTAACTGTGCTCTCCTCTGCCAGCGTTCGCTTCGACTGCCAGTCAACAGTTGGACTACCCTGATTGCCTCAAATGCCCCCTTCGAATGTCACCACGCCTCAAGGAAGCTCACGTTCAAAGGGGAAGCTGTATGGACGGTAGAGGTGCTTTTTGTTTCCTAGGGCGTTTTTTCTTCCTAGCGCTGTGGACCTGGTTGGGGGCAAGAGGCGGCATCCTCAACTTTCTCAAATTGGCCGCATCCCCAGCATCACCAACCTCAGGACCCAGACCCAAGAAAAATCCCAGGAAAAAAGAAACACCTCATCCTCTGTATGGACCCCCCAAAACCGCGAAGTCCAGCACTTGGCCCCGTGCGGGCATCCGTGCTGATGCCCTCCAGGTCCAGTGCCAGCTCGAGGGCTGGGTCGGCTGAAGGCTCACCTCCCGCACCGCGGAAGGTTGGAGTTTCACGAGTCAAAATAAGCTGTTGGCTACAAGCAGAACACACGAGACCAGTTCAACAAATGGGGGCCTGCGCACGTCGTTGCCACAGAACGGCATGTGTGCTCTCGCAACAAAAGAGTGGTTCAGCTGGTGTCTTTTCCATGCATGCCAGTTTGTGAGATGCTATTTGGCGTGTCCTACAATAGGTGCGAGACCCCCTGATTCTCCCTTTGAAACTTTGGTGTTCCTTCAAAGCTGCTGCAGTACCCTCGGAGAAAGACAAACACATTTGGTGGGCTTTGCATCACTCCCTTGCCTGAAGCGCAGGGCCGCTTGGCCCAAAGCAAGGTCACTGCCTGCTGCTCCTGGCTGCAGATGGACAAGCAGAGCCATAAGTCTGTTCCACAGACCTTTGGCTTGAAGCATTTGAAAGGTGACATGGATGTCTCTCCAAATGAGGGAACCCCAAAATATAGCCCTTTCGTCTGCTATTTGCTACATGGTTGAATTGCCGGGTGCTCCAGCTCGTTCTCCAACCCTGCACTCATTTTGACTCATTGACCTCGTCTTCCAATGCCACATGTTTGTGAACTCCATCACCTATATGTCTTGGCCATACCCCGTTTTGGTGGTGTTCCTACCTCGTGTTGCACTCACTTCAGTATGCTACCCAAACCATGTTTCTGCCTAAAAGCAAGGCCGTGCAAACCTCGCGATGCAGAACTGCAGCATCCTTCTTGATCCGAGAAGAGACGAACTGGGCACATGTTCCATAACAAATACTCTGTATCCAAAGATTGCAACCCGAGACCAAGCCCGCCGTCTGAACAGAACCTACCCTAGAAGCTGGATATGGGAGCAAATGGTGTTTTTCCTTTGTCCCATGTTTCATTCCGTCAGGCAACTGGCCTCTAGCGTCTCCCAAAGCACGTAATTCTCGGCTGGATTCAGGCATAGTCGGGCAAGAGCCATCGGCAAAGCAACAACCAATAGATGCTGCATCCACGAGTCAAACACATATCGCCCCGCCACCTGTCTACACAGACAACAGTCTTTCTGCAAATCCACACGAGAGAGCCAGTCAGCTTCTGTGCTACATGTCTGAATGCAACTGAAGATGTCTGTGCCTCTTCCTGTCAAGCTTGGCATGGGACGTTTCAGGGTGCCTAGCATTGTAGGCTCAGGGCGTCCTAACCGTCAACTGAGTCACCATCAATCAATACCCGGTATCAGCCAACGCGGCCGAGAACCTATTTATCTGAGTCACACTGCCCACTCAGCTTCATCTCCTCAGGTTCTGACTGTGGCTCAAAAAACGGTACCATCGGTACCCAAATAGCACCTGAGTAAATGGAACCAAAGACTAAAACCTGCGGTTTCCGGCCGCAAAATCTGCCCCGCCTGGGAGCCGAAATCAAAGGCCGCACTCTCCGCAAAGAGCCGCTCGTTGAACTCAGCCACGCAGTCCTTGCACCGGGAGATTACCCTGGCATGTTCTGTCAAAACAATCTATAGGCTTTTTGTTTAGGCAAAAAGAACCCCAGAATGGGTAGGGCTTTCCTTTGGTTTACTTTCAAAGCCCAACAAAAAGGAACCCCGGAAACAAATACACTCAGATTGGTATCATGTTGCTCATGCCATCAGCAAGAAACATCAAACAAATGCTTGGCATTGAAGCCCCTGAAAGAACTCAAGACTGCTCTCAACAGCAGTGGTTTGCGGCGGGCTCCAAAACCCCTTTTGTGTTGCTTGCTGGTTCGTTTGTTCGCGTGTCGCTTGTCGATTGTCTTTGTTTGTTTGCTTGCTTGTTTGTTTGTTTGTTTGTTTGGTTGGTTGTTTGGTTGGTTGGTTGGTTGGTTTCTGTTGACCTGTTGGGTCTCTATCCGCTCTCCGCTTCCATGTCCTCCAGCTGCTTCTTCACGTCGGCGATGGCCAGGGAAGGCGCCAAGCGGATCAAGCCCTCCACCTCTAATCCACGCTTCCGGCACGTTTCCCAACGGGTGCTCGGTGCAAATATGAGTTGGGGGCTTCGGGTTGCCAACTTGTGCTCTCTTGACTGAGGTTAAATCAACATGAGTTTGCAGGGGTACCTGGGGCTTAGATTCATCATTGAGGAAAACTTCTCACCGACAAACCGCCCCTTACAGCTATGAGAATCATCTCCTGCCATTGCCCGCCATCAACATACAGTTGCACCTCTCCACAAGAATACCAAGCAACGATTTCCTTCAGGTTTTCGAGCCAAAAGCTGCTCGCGTTCTCCGACTGGGAAGTCAACCACTCTTGGCTGCTGGCGTACGTCTCGGACTGCCTCAGTCAATTGACAGGTAGGCACCACCCAACTTCTAACTCTAGCTCAGCAGCGCCCAAAACCCAGTGACTTTTGGTTCTACCAACATGCTTGCAATGTATATAGGCCATACGACAAACCACCGCAAAACCTGGTAGTAGAACAATCTAAGTATCCTGGAAAGAAGAGCCAACAATCAAAACGCCCTACATTCATCAAACCATGCTCGCCTGGTGGATGTCTCCATGCGCGTACAGCGGAAGTAGGTGCCATCGGCGCTGGTTGTCTGGCCAGAAACAGCACTGGTGGTGCACATTTTCAAGAAACACCAAAGCGTGCCTGGGAGACCACATCAAAACCGTCTGTGAGAGCATGACGATGGCCCAATGTATGATGGAATGGAGTTGCTGCCCTTTCAACCCCAAACCTGTGGTCAAGTCAACACGCTCTGCCCCCAACCCCCCGAAAAACACATATAGATTGACAATTCACTCTTCTCGATGGTATTGCTGGCCAAACAAGCCACCAAGCATTGTCCCTCCCTGCCCTTTTCTCAACCAAGATCACTTTGCAGGGCCGCCCTCAACCGCCCCTCCCTTGCCTGCGCCTCGAAGAGTCGCTGCGCCTCGAAGAGTCGCTGGAAGGACTCCTGCAAGTGCGCCAGTGCTCGGCCCGCCAACCTGGGTGGAATGGATCCCGGCATGCGCCCCATGATGAACGTGAGTGAGACAATGCAAGAGGTGCAATCAAGCGAGCAAGCGAGCTCGAAAGAAGCAACGCTGGCGAGTTTCACTCTAAGCACGTCTGCGCCTTCCAAGCATAGTGTTGCCAAAGTCTGCCGAACAAGCGTGTTGTCGCCCTAGGTGCCCGCCAAAGAATCTAAGGGAACGAAATCAGGATAGCCTGGAACGAGATGTTTCCTGGTGAGGCTGTGCGATCTAAGAACAATTTGCACACATCCACGCAGCCGCATAACACTTTGGGCCCTTGCAAGGTATTGTGGGAGAAGAAGCCCGCGATGACAATGACGACAATGACGACAATGACGACAACATCGACGGCAGAATACAAACTTTAAACCTATCCGATAGTGCCATTTTGCTCATTGCTGATCTGTCTGGCTACAAGTGCGTGGAATGTGCAAATATTCCCTCATTGAGTACATATATATGTGCCCATATGTTTTTCACCGCATTGGCATCATGGACACATTCAGGTGCGTATGCTGGCTGCATTTAGTAGCTGGTAGTGGCAGTGGCAGCGGTAGTGGTAGTAGTGGTAGTGGTAGTAGTGGTAGTGGTAGTAGTGGTAGTTGTCGTGGAGTGGCAGTAGTCGCAGGAGTAGCGGGAGTAGTGGCAGCGGCAGTAGCAAAAGGAGAAAGCAGCAGCAGCAGCAGCAGCAGCAGCAGCAGCAGCAGCAGCAGCAGCAGCAGCAGCAGCAGCAGCAGCAGCAGCAGCAGCAGCAGCAGCAGCAGCAGTTGTTGTTGTTGTTGTTGTTGTTGTTGTTGTTGTTGTTGTTGTTGTTGTTGTTGTTGTTGTTGTTGTTGTTGTTGTTGTTGTTGTTGTTGTTGTTGTTGTTGTTGTTGTTGTTGTTGTTGTTGTTGTTGTTGTTGTTGTTGTTGTTGTTGTTGTTGTTGTTGTTGTTGTTGTTGTTGTTGTTGTTGTTGTTGTTGTTGTTGTTGTTGTTGTTGTTGTTGTTGTTGTTGTTGTTGTTGTTGTTGTTGTTGTTGTTGTAGCAGTAGCAGTAGCAGTAGCAGTAGCAGTAGCAGTAGTAGTAGTAGTAGTAGTAGTAGTAGTAGTAGTAGTAGTTTACACAACATAGCAAGCAATGGCATGGCATGATCATTGGAGGTATGGTCTTTACACTGGGGATGCCCTTGGCTGCCCGAATGGAGTTCATAATTATTCGCTTCTGATGAGTCAATGACCGTCCTACAGGTCATTTGACGATCGCACGCATGTTGTTGAGTTTGCTGGAGCTTTTCAGCATGCTCTTGTCATATGTTGTGAGTATTTATGATTGGTGAATGGTTGAAATGGTATGATTAACACTGTTCAAGAAAGGCTGTATACCAATATGCTGTAGGTGCTCTCATTCCTGCGAACAGTATGACAACTCGGGGCTTGTTGCTCTATTAAGTCTTGCGGAGCACAGGAATCTCATGACCTACGCATCGAAATTGGCGTGTCACTGATGTATGGCGGGTGCATTGCAGAAACACATTGCAGCAGTTGCGGCATGTATTGAGTGCACGCTACAGGACCACGCTACAGGACCATTGCGGTCATGTTGAATGATACCGATATGCTTAGTTTTCCACTGTCATACGGGCGAGCCAGAAGATACTGAGACAGTAGTGATTAGTGGCCATGATTCGTCAATACCACGTATGCCCATGTCCGCGAAATGTCAAGCCGGTACATTTTGAGGGTCACTGTCTTTTGCACGCAAGCACTCGTTGGTAACCCCAAACAAACAGCAACTTTCCTGGCACGCTTCTGCAAGCTACATCCCTCAACCGCAGAAATAACTTGACGCCGTTTTGCCTGGCCACAGCCCTTCAGCCTGACTTGCCTGACGAGACCCAGAGTCCCTCGTGTGAAAGCTTGCTTGGCCAAGGCACTCCGCGGAAGGAGCCGGATGGTTTTGCAGGGTTTGGACGTGCAGTGTCCTGAGACTCAGCGCACGCGACGCTGGCCATCCGTGCCGTGATATAGGGCAGCTCAGAATCGTCGTCCGCCATTCGCCATCTGGTTTCTCATCATGGGACAAGTGCATTGGCAACAATGATGAACAACCGGCACACCATCTAGGCGTGTTTCCTCGAGACAAGCAATCGATCTAACTAGTACATGCATGCATGCATACAGGCATACAAATGTGCATGTGCACACACACACACACACATTCGTCCATGTGTGCGTACATCTCTGTGCATGTGTACAAAGTGTGCAGCATATGATAAATACATGTACCTGCGCATTGGAAGTGCGGGTTCATCGCCAAACATGGGCGGCATCAGCACGTACAAGCCATCTTTCAACCTAGGATCTCAAAATCAACCAAGGAAAACTGCCGGACTCCCAACACCTCTGCCACCAATAAATGCTGACTTGGAGGATTGCTTCTCTTGGTTACAGAACGTGCCAGGCCGCCAATTTGGACACCTTGGCGTCGTCTCGGGCAAACAACGATGGCAGCGGCGACTTTTTTCAAATCGAAGCCAGCGGCGTTTGGGTCCAGCCGAGTTGACCCTTCTGAAGCCGAGGTGCCAAGCCAGCGATCCCAAAGCACCCCTGCAGAGCCAGGCGCCAGACTGTTTAGCCCACTCCTGACGAGACCCGTGAAAATTAGGTATGCGTTTTTGCTGGAGTTGGTGCCCTTTTTTGTTCCCATTTAAGAAGACAGACTCCGGTACAAGTACCCTGTCTTTGTGTCCTCTCGAAATCCGCATGTTTCGTCCATACTGAGAAAGCAAAATCGCCATTCCTGCCCAACCTTCACGGCATAAAGTGTCTGAACTTCTGGACTCTCAAGGCCTCGAGCGGAGAGGCCCCAGCATCGAGCCAGTACACGGGCCTAGCGCGCAGGGATTTGGAACTCCCCAAGATGGGTCTCTCTATTCAAGCAACTTTTTCTTGGTTTCCCCCCCCCCAGAAAAAGAAAGGGACACCCTTTTCTCAGGCACCCGGTTTCCCCCAAGTCACATGTTAGCAATGCACAGTGGTGGGAAAGTCGGGGGTTGCCTGGATTTCAATAAGATTTGTGTTTCTGAGAGGGCACCCCGTTTGCCCGGATTTGATCACCCATGGTTCCACCTACAAACCATTGAGCTGTGCCTGGCTTTGGCAAGTTTACAAATGGTAGGCAAGTCTCCAAATGATGGACATGCCATCCTTGGTTTGCGATGGATGCCTCGCAAAATGCTTACTGTGTGCGGGTTGCTCCGTGCAATGATTTCATTGCTGCGTATGTCTGGTCTGAATCAGATCAAAGTACGAAACAATTGTCGAAATCCAGGCCAAGCATGGCACATGACACGTGGCCACCGCTATTCTACAGGAGTGTTGTCGAACATGTGGCACTCATACCTCATTGTTTGGGCCGAGTGTCCCAAACAAAACATGGCGGCCTTCGCTCGGTCCCGGACCCCTTTTGGATCTCCGGCAGCTCGCCGCTCGCCATCATCGCCGCCCCGCCGCCTTCGCCGTGCCGCTGCGCCGCCAGGAACCTCGGCTCTCACGCGAGAGCTAACAGCTTGGTTGCTGTTGACCCCGCTGCAAAAGGTTTAACTTTTGGGGGGCTTAGTGGAAAACCCCTTGATTTCAACCGAAAAGTTAAAGTCTAAAGATCCAACCCAACAGCAGTCAAGACAGCGGCGCAGGCGGCACGCTGGGCCGCGCGCAAGCAGACCACGCTGCGCTTGAGTTGCGGCTGAGAGCGTCCCAGCTCACAGAGCAGCAGCACCTTGAGCAGACGGGGTCTGTTCAGAAGCATCACCAGCGGAATGAGATTCACCCTACATTCCGTGAATGATGCTGTTCGGTTCTTAGGATGGTGGGAGCTCAAGGTGAGGCGAGTCCGGCGTACAACTCGCGCCAGCATTCCAACCACTGTAAATGCACAACATGAGCAAGTCACCAGCATCAAACATCAACCCTGGCTGGTCCCTGTGCTGCGAGGACGTCAACAAGACCATTCGAAAGTCTTGTTCAGCACTTCCAAGCTTGGTGGCATCGTGTGTCTGTGTGTGATCGGTATGCCTTACCTTTCACAGAACAATAGGGCAAAGTGCCATGGTTGCTGTGAGCTGAGCTTCCCTGCCAGCAGTGCAATGTGGCCAACACCTGGAGCTGCAGACGCTCACGCTAAAACGGCGGTTGGAACGTGAGCTTGGACTAGTGGCGCAAAGGCTGTCCGTAGGCAACATGCCAAACTCGGTGCCTCCAGGACTCAGGCGGCTGGGCTGTTCGCTGCAGGGCAAACACCTCTCAGCCAAGAAAGACTTTGATGGGAAGGTGCAGGCCTGCACCAGGTGAAAACACGAGTCCTGACTGCAACCCCACCCATGATGTGTTGTTTCATATGCCCGAAGAAATGCTCCTCATCGCAACGCAACTTGCCTCGCGCTGTACGGCGTCGCCGAGCTGCAGTACGGCAGGTCAAAGTGGCCTCATAGCAACACCAGCGAGGGGCTGCGAGGCAGCGGCATGCCTCCAGATCCTCTAGGTCTGCGACCACATTCCTTGAACCAACTCTCTATCATTCTCGCGGGAACTTCAAACAGCCCTTGAACGAATCCAAACGGCCAAGCGGCAAAACACCAAGTCGCACTGTTGGGATGCAAATCAGCGAGGGCTTCCCTTGGAAAGGACCAAGATGGCGTCCCCAGTAGCCATAGGCCGACTACGTGACACTCCCATTTTGGGGGCTGCATGCAAGCTGAAGATAGCAAGGGCTCCGGCAGACAAAAATGACTGCGTCGTTGCTGCTGCCGGGATAGGTGACCTTCGCAGCCGATAGCATATAGACTGCGCGACTGCTTCCATTGGTTCGGCGACGTGTAACTGGACCTGCGATCACACGCGTCAAGCCTGCAAGACCGCAACATCTCGTACTTCAAGCCATCTTTTCGCAGCTGCATGTTGCACCTTCATGAAATCACTTCATGTCTTTCATAAATCAGGGCCTCTACATCCATTTCGAATCACACTAGAAGAAACCGAATGCCACTCATTTCAGACTCCTTCACCTGCCCTTGCCGCCCTTGCCTTGCGCCTTTGTTCTCCCGCTTCTACCCCGAGAGGTTCACCCGAAGGCGCCTTCAAAGCCTTGCGCCCGGTATCGAAGTCCCAGTGCTTCAGCTGCAGAGGGCCCCGGTATGAGAAGGCCGCCAGCTCGTCCTCACTCAGCTCGGCGCTTTCAGGCTTTCGGTGTCAATTCCTTCGGCTCGCTGGTTTGGTGATGAGATACTTTTCACTTTGCTGCAAATCAAATGATCCGCAGTGGACATGGCGACAACATCAAACAGCCAAGGCCGGGATTAGTTGCACATAGTGGATTTGCCATACCAAGCCCTTGTGCATGTCTTGAACTCTGATTGACTTTGACACCTTGTTCTGCGTATGCAAGAGACTCCTCAAGAAGACAAGAAACCGGATCCAGAACTTCATTTCTCGCAACAAGGGATGCATGCGGCTTTGGCTTCCAGAAGAAAGCTGCTGCAGCTCCAAATCAGCCCTGCAAGCTTGATGAGAAAGGCTTTCGGAGCAAAGAGCTTCTGGCTCGGGCTTCTTCCTTTTGGCCAAAACGGTCTTTGAGATCGTACCTGTTTCAATGTTGGGGGGAGGCGCCAAAACGGGCTCATCCTTTCAGCCGGGATCTCTTTGCGAAGCACCGGAATTCGGAGAGGTGCGCGGCACCGCTGCCGCACGTTGCGACGACACGGGTCCTCCACGATAGTGGCGGCCACTTGCTCCTGCATCGGAGGTCTGGAGACATCTGGAGACGATTCAAACGACAAAATGTGAAGATAAAGCGCAGGGCCTGCCAGTATGCGTGGGCATGAATGGATTGCCTGCATGTGACACTGCAATCAATTGTCCAACCTCCCACCACACATCCGTACCAGTTGCTCGTCGGCCCCTGTGTTAACCTAAAAAATCAAAGTCTGCACATGGAAACATGTTTCTAAGAGGCAAGGCCCACCCCAAACGCTGGTCAGTGCACCTGCGCTGCCTTGACTGGCTCCGTGTGGAGGTGCCCGGATCTGGCCTTAGACCAACATATGGACTCCGTCCCGGATGTTTTCATTGCCCCCCCCCCCCCAAACGATTGAATCCTAAATCGCAACGCCCAGCCTTGTTTTCCTACAGTTTTAAGATGAAGAAACCAGCTCGTGTCGACCAATTTGCAGTCGTATTCACAAGTGACGAACAATCGTCGTCGCAAGTGCCGCACTAGCCTGAACATGGTATCCAAAGAAGTGTCAATGCCATGGCTGCAGTGCAAAGACTGAGCTCCAATAGCGGCCCAACCTTGTCACAAAAAACAAGCTAGGTCCGGCACGGTCACTAACATCATTGTGACTTTGCATGGAAGCACATGCACGCAGCTGCTCACAAAGACGTACAAAGAGAGAGAGAGAGAGAGAGAGAGAGAGAGAGAGAGAGAGAGAGAGAGAGAGAGAGAGAGAGAGAGAGAGAGAGAGAGAGAGAGAGAGCGCGCCCGCGTGCACACGACACACGCATGCGCACACACGCACACGCATAAACACACAAACACACGTGTGGGTCTACAACCGTGTCCTCCGCCACTCTGCAAGCTGAGGCAACCAGAACAACCTCATAATGCTATCAACATGACTATTGCTAATACTCGCAAAGCGCCCCAACCAGTGTCTTGCGTACCTCCAAGACAGGCAAAGCCCAGCTGAGGAATGAAGGCTGGGACCCGCATGTCCAGGTATCGAAGTCTCAACCCGAATGAAGTTCTTTATGCCCGTTGGGTGAACAAGCTGACCAGGCAACTCTAGCAACGGATTTGCCGAGAAAGTGACTTGTGCAGCGAGACGTCCGAAGAGGCACAAGAATTCCGTCTCCGGCAAAGCCTTGCGACGTCGCGGAACTGAAAGCGTGAAATCAAGCCCCGAAAAGGGAAGGCACTTGAGGATCCGCACATCTGCAAGAGCCGACCAGCCCTGGAATATATGAAATGCCGACATCTATGTGAGGGCGCAAGATCAGCCCAGCTACTGGCTCTCAGAAATCAGCACCAAACAATCATAATATTTTTAAGATAACCAACAGACTGCGGATAGACAAACTCCTGCACTAGACGGGATGGATGAAACCCGATAAATACTGGAATAAACCACCTGCGTTACGAACTGGTGCAGGACGTTGTCCATCCTCACAACCTGAATCTCGTCCAGCCTGCCGCTGCCACTCAATCTTGGACGCCTTCCGGTCGCACACCACACTGCCGCACGCGAGAACACAAATGATAAATGGGTGTCCTTTTTGGAGTTGGTACCCGTTTTGTTCAGCTAGCTGCCTGCGTTCCATGCTGAGCCATCTTGTGGAGAAATAATGACGTTCAACAGAACGAAAGAAATAATTCAACAAATGGATAAAGGCAAACATAGAGAGAGAGAGAGAGATAAAGAAAGAGAGAGAGAGAGAGAGAGAAAACATGTTGCGCCTTGCAAGTACGAGCAACTCAGTCCATTTCTTCAACATAAGCTGGCATTCCGCTTGGTACTGGCTCCTCTTTCAACTTCCCACCCTCTCAGCGATGTGGCAATGGAGCCTCTGGCAGCTCTGGCTGAGACAGCGCTTCCTCGGACACCTGTGGCACATCAACCGTATCATCTGTCGCCGGGTAGAGTCACTGAAGTTGTCACAGCTCTCGAGGAAAGCCGGAGGCGGTTCGCAGTACCCATGCCCTGCTTTTATCAAACTTGCTCTGGTGTATGAGACTGCCAAACCAAGGCAGGTCATTTGGCGCCAACCCCCAGGTTGACAATGTAATAACATGCATGTCAATTTGATGGCAAGTTTGGTCAAACTCAAACTGGTCGAACGGACCTCAAAGCCCCGCCTCTTTCGGCGAAGGGCAGTACAGCTGCAGCGGCGGCTGCGGCGCTTGTGGCGCAAAGTTCTGCGAAGCCGCCTAGCACTGAGTATATCTCCTTTAGGGTGCTCTTTCTAGTAGCGTTTTGCGGGAAACACATCCATTGGGAGGGAGGGCTTCCACTGCTTTGCAGACAAACCCACTGCCGTACCAAAGAGGAATACCGCATAACGAAGCCATGCCAATGAAAAGAAAGAACCACATCAGCATGGTCCTACTGGGCTTCAGTGACTGCCTCCGCTTTGTCCTCCTGACTCCAAAGAAGCCCGGAGAGACAGCCCAGCAGGCCGCCCAGAATCGCACCCTTCCTCAAGTTCTCGCGACCAACCAACCATGCTATGCTTTGAAACAACCTCCTCCAAAGCTGCTCAACCAAATCGAACAAAGCGCACATGCACATGGGTCAGCGGAATCTCGGACAAGATGGAATGGTAGGGGCAGTAGCGCCATGTCAGAAGTAACTGGTGGCAACCTTTCTGAATCCTCGCAGAAACGCATGCCTGGACAAGTCATGTTAGTGTATTGACATAATATAAAACTTTAAAATACATAACTCTGGTATAGACACACTCTTCCACCCACCCACCAACGCACACAAACAGAATCATATATATATATATATAGATACATGTTATACACACCCGCACACACCACACCCCCAAGTTGCAAAAGCTCTGGTTCACCTGCTTTCGTAACCCTGACCAACAAAGCTGGGTACTGCAGTGGGGTGTGGACACCGGCCATGTCCATGTACCGGCCAAACTTTCGACCTTCCTTTTACTGAAGCAGCCTCCTTATCTCTTGCAGTCGTGCATGTCTGCGTGTGTGTGTGTGTGTGTGGCAATGGCTGTAGTGGGGGTGTTGGATTGCAGGCTGTTGTATCTTGGTACGCAATCGAAGTAAGGGCGCATCATGAAGCATGATTTGCAATGAAAGGAGAATGAGTCAGGGCAACTGAGCTGTCCAAAAGAGCATTCTACGATATGCTGGCAAGCTTCTCAGCAGCGACTATCAAGGTTGCAACATGCATGATGCCAGCGTTTGCTCTTCATTGCGGGGGCAGCCCGGTCAGGCGTGTCTCTGGATGTGAGCGCATGGATGTTTCATTCATATTGTTTGTGAATGTGTCCCGGCAGTAGGCTTGAACGAAAACATGACTCAACAAGCACCAAGTAATGACACTGAGCATGTCAAGGTTACTTCGAATGGTAACATGTTCTGAACCTCCTCGCTGGTACACGTCAGGCACTGCAACTGCGAGCCCGGATCAGCGAGCGAGAGAAAGAATTGAGCGTGAGTTGTCATCTAAACCCAGCACAAGGAACATTCAAAATCTATGTAAAGAATCCAAGGGGCGGCCGCAGTTGAGACCTAGCCAACATCCACCCCAGCTGAGTTGTGTGCTCATTGCAATCGCTTGGGCAGTCCGGAAAGGTATCTCTTGCGGAGGCTTGCAATGTAGACTGCATACCCATGACTCTGCGGGTAAAGCTCCATGCGCCCGGCAGCCCAACTGCCAAGATTCACTCTGCGATTGAAGTGCCATCATGAATGGCGCATGCCGGCTGGACATGTCGCGAAGGAACATCCAGCTTCACTGTCCCCTGCTCCATCCGCAATCGCTTTTCAGGCTAACACGGCAGGCAAGGCCCGAGCTGGTGCGCCTCAGCTGAACTCCGACAAGTTGAATTGGTGAGGACAGCACAGCCCTACTTTGACCTGGCTTTCACCTGACAGTCGGTACCTTTGGGATCTGCTGGCGCCAAGTTGTCATCAGCCTGTGCCTGCCTGTCATGCGTGAAAAGCCCCAGGCACGCCAAAATGTGGAACCGAAACAGCTGGTTTGTGGAAAGGCCAAGCTGAGTGACGAGGATCTCGTTATCCAACCACAACGCATGCTGCAAACAAAACAGGGTACCCAAGTGCTTCAATTTGTTGCAGTCCAGCGCACTCGTTTCGAAGCGTTCTTATGATTTGCGCGCGACTTGAATGTTCCTGTCGGAATCAGAAGTAAGGCCCAATGACAGTATCATCTATGCCATCCATTTCCCGCTTGCCTTGTAGATCCATTAGACCGCAGGAGAGCCTGCAAGAAGAATACAACCACTGCAGGGGCACAAAAGCTCAAGATGAAGTTGATGACCAAGGCTTCCAACAAGGGGAAGGCCAAAAACACAGCCAACGCGATAGAGTGAGAAGATTAATCTGAAACGGATGCTCCGACAACAGCAAAAAGGACGAATTTCGCAGGGGTAAGTCAGGAGAAGCCTCAGAGGTAAACAACGAGCTGCAGAGACCTGCCGGACTCAACGCGCAGATGCGATGTTGAAGGGAGTGGCAAGAAGACTGCGCCTCATCGCTTTCCCAACCAGGCACAAGGGGAGAAGGTGTATCAATATTACACGAGGGCACACTAGGGCCAATTTCATGCAAAGAGACCGGCACAAGAATGACTAATTGGTCTGGGCCGCGGCAAAAAGATTAGCGCGGACGGCTTCTGAGTGGTGCGCGCACAGCGTGAGCGGTGCGGCGCAGCACTGTTCGAGTCCAGCTGCGTTGTGCAGCAACGAGGGGGGATGGGTGTAGACTCATCCGCCTTCGGAAGCATTCCACAGGCGTGGGCCCGAGATGTCCAAACTAAGTTACATGTCTGCGACAGACAGAATTGCAGCATATCGCTGCACCAACATTAACGACATCAGTCATAGTTGTAGACAGATGCACACAGAGCATGTTGCTCAAAAACAAGTCATTCCAAGTCCTGCCAAGCTGTGCGTAGGCAGGGACCAAGCGCTTTGCTACCCTGAAATGTAAAAAGTGGGAAAAGCACGGAGGTGCACCCGGGGGCTCAAGGTCTGGTGTAGGCCGCGAGGATGCTGCCAATTGTACGGTCCAGGAAGGAGGCCTCATGCCTAAGTGCGGCAAGCTTGCGCTTGCGTTCCATGGTTGTGCCTTGTAGTTGAAGTTGCCGGCAGCGAAAGTGCTGCCGTAGCCACAATCGAGTTGCGCAGAGTCTGTGTGAAGCGCCACCCCCTTGTTGCCACGATGTCGCCAGCAATGAGTAGGGCTCCACGACCTGATGCTCCCAGCTTCGTCAAGGAGTTCCACACGCAAGTGAGAAGACGAGTGCTTCCGCGCCGATGCAGCGAAAATCCACCAGAGCTGCAGCGAATCACTGTTCAACTGGACCTTGGAGACAAAGTCTCTGACCAGGACAGAGAGCTGTATAGACACGAGGAACCCAAGGAAAAAGCACCATCCGTGAGCAATGACGATCCCAATGCAGCACCATCCAGCGAGAGGAGGGAAACGAAACATGGCGGTTTCCATGGCGTAAGTCAAAGGAGCTCCCAAACATCAGCTGACACAGGTCCACCATCTGGTAGGATTTGGGCCGAGACCTGCGGCAAAAAGATTTAAAAAAAAAGTCTGCCTGCTAGTCAACAAGTACGATCACGTTCAAAAGGTTAAAGGTCATGGGGCAAACAACATATTCAAAGCCTGAAACACATATCAACGAAGTGGCTCTTCACCTCACCAAAATTGTTTGGCTTGCTTGAGCGCCTGCTCGAGCTGCTGGCAGCAAACCGCATCTGGCCTGTCAAATGAACCGAAAGGCCGCGTCAGGTTGAACTGAACTCAAGTGGAGCAAGCAGGACCTTCTGTGAATAGTCTGGGTGCAGAGCAACCGTCCTGGAGCTGGAAGGACTTGAACCCTCAACCTTCACCCTACTACAATGCAGGGCGACGCGCTGCCATTGCGCCACAACTCCGCTACGGGGTGGAAAGCATCAAACATTCACCTCGGTCAGTTGAATGGATGTATGTTGTTTGC